TTGTTTCTATAAAAATTACATTACGCTATATCTTGGTCGAAAAACGGTTGGAGCATATACCCTTTGTAACACTTTTCGTTCTATAACTATTTGTTTTTTTTTGTTCATAGCAATATTTCCTTTTTTTTGTGATGTTTTTTGTTATCTTGTACGTGACTGCAGCCCCTAAAATCTTACTGTCATTCCGCATGACGTCATACCCCCCACCACCGAAGAATCCCCGCGCTACGCTTTCCCTCGCCTACGAGTATCCCATGCACCCCGCGCTCCCCTCTAGCCCCATGGGTTAGAACCCGCTTACTATACCTACTAATATAGGTTTCTGCGAAGATCTTCATGGTTATGAAGTTGAGTTACTATTTAAAATGCTTGTATTGTTTTTGAAAATTTATGTCATCCTTTTCTTGCTATTATTGCACCTTTACCGAAAAGTGGAATTCTTTTAGTTTCTACCAAACATGCTTTATAAATTGATAGTAATACATATGTATAATATTTTAAGTTACTTTATATTACATACATATAATATTGTACAGGGTGTTGCAGATACATACTAGGCAGTACGATGGGTTGCGCGGCAAACTTTGCATGGCCAAGCGTGGTTTAATAGACAATGACAGTGACTTTATACATTATAAAGTTTATACTACAAAGTTTTATTATTTATATTATAAAGTTTATGTTATAAAGTCACTGTCATCGTCTATAAAACCGCGTCTGCCCATGCAAAGTTTACCACGCAACCCGTCGTACTGCCTAGTATGTATCTGCAACACCTTGTACGGCATAATATAAGATAAAGATATAGTGTTCCAAAAATAACGATAAATCTTTCGCAAAGAGGCAGACAATTTTTAGTAATTAATATAATAACTATTGCGAAAATTGTAAAATAGTAGAAGACTTTTCTTCTCAGTTTAGTCCATTCTGCCCCTGTGCGAAAGATTTATCGTTACTTTTGGAACACTCCGTATATGTAATATGGTGTAGTGTGTGTGTAATAATATATGGTATAATTTAAGGGGATCCTAAAGCAAAGCCCGAACTCCGACGAAATCGCTAGATGTCGCATCGCGCGCAGCACATCGACATGTCTTTTTATACGTACTACCACAGCAATATCTCACGCAGCCTATGATACACACAGTCACACATACGTGTCAATTTTCGTACAACGAATTCGTCGCGATAAATCGTCTAAATCTAATTCTAAGAACTCGACGTTGTATGTTCGTGCAATTTACGTGTTTGGGAACTATTAATTCGTACGTTTGGGTTGCAAAGCTTTCATATTTATTTCGTACGTTCGGGTTGCAAAGCTTTCATATCAAGCAAATGTTGTCACGACTTGATAGCTGAAACGCCATGTTACACTAACAAGGGAACGGTCGGAACTGTCCCTCACCGATTTTAATGCGCTTTGGATATGTTGTAAAGCATCAAAAAATATTCGACCCATATTTTTTTATAGCGG